GGTCTTTGCTTGTTTTTTGATATTAGATATATATTTTTGTATTTTTATTTTTATCTTTTATACATTTTTTTTTGACTCACATTTTTTTTAGATTTAGATTTTAGATTTAGATTTTTTTAGATATTTGATTAATTTACACTTGTTATCAAAGGAAAATGGAAAATCCCTAATTTTTATTTACTATCATTTATTGCCTTATCCTCCTCTGTTAGCCAATAAATCCATATGTTCTCGGTCTTTGTTTATGAGGAAACCAACAAGTCATTGTTTATTCTCCGTCACTTTTCGTAAAACTGTTTTTTTTTTCTTCAAAAAGCGAACCGTCCGACTTCGAAACCCAAAAATTTCAACATCTGGTGGGTGACATTTCATTCATGTGACACTTGCCGAATAAATCATTAAATATATGAATCGTTTGGGACCGAAAAAAGTGGATAATTGATTTATAATATATTTCGAGGATTATCTAATATTTGGAATAACAAAAATTTTTGTTAGGATTTTTCACTTATTTTATAGTTTTGGACACTTAGCACATTTTTAACAGAATATTTCTAAACTACAAATGTATTTGATTCTAAATTTTTGGATAAATTTTGTACCATATTTCAATAAAATAAGTATTTTATAAGTTTTCTTGGTATATGTTTCGGATTACGTTCAAAGAATCTTATTAAATCCTTACATTTTCCGTTTTACCAGTGTAAGTGATAACATATAAAAGCAATCTCAGCCATCTATTTTCTCATATAAATTGTCAAGTTTTTCGATATCGATAAATCTGACACACGAATGTCTATTAGTGGTTCGATAATAAAGCACAATTTTTCCTATTTGCAATTTGCGAGATTATTAGCGTTGCTTGGTACGAGAAATATTGCAAAAATAGCGAGAAATCGCGTGTATCATATTTTAACAGGGATGGTCAACGTGTTGTCGCCGTAATAAATGAGAAACATAAATTAAATTTATGTTATAGTTCTGTGGAGGTAAATGGGGTACACTAGTTACGTCAGATCTTTTTTGGTAAATTCGGTTTTCCTGAAAAAAAAAATGCAAAAAAGATTTAAGAACAATTAGAGTAATCTAAAACGAAACTCTATTGAAAAAGTAACTTTTTCAAAAATTAAAAACTGACACCATTAAAAACTCAAAATTGTTCCATTAAATAGTTATCTATTGCATTAAATAGTTATCTATTGCATTATAAATTATCCAGATTTGAGAAAAATGTCCTATTTTTACATAATTTGTTTTTGCTTGCAATACTATCTACAAATCAATTTTTTCGAAAAATTATCTATTTTTTTTTAATTAATGGCATTAGAGATTTAAGAGAAATAGACAATTTTCTCCAAAAATTATCCAAAATTTTAAGGAGAAATAGCTAATTTTCTTCAAAAATCATCCAATTTTTTTAATGATTATAAAATTATCAAAATGCAATAGATTTTAAAAAATGGCCTAATGGAAAAAACATCTAGATTAAGTAATGAAATATATACAGATTTAGGTAAATTAGCCAATTTTCTCTAAAAATGGTCCAGATTTTTTATTACTGAAAAATTAATTAAATGCTCTAGATTTAGAAGAAATTGTCTATTTTTACACAAATTGTTATTGCTACCAATACAGCTTATCAATTCTTGAAAAATCATCTAGATTTAAGATATAGGAGAAATAACCAATTTTTAGGAAAATAATTTAGACTTTACTTTATAATCATTTGTCTATTTATCCCAAGGTTTTCCTAACCTGCATTTATCTCCCTTCGATCCGATGTTAAATCAAACTGTTATAACGACCGGCGCTATGCTGGATCCCCCGCAGATTTTGAATAATTTATTATTTAAGCTTGAAATCACGACGGAGGTTACCTGTAAAAACCGGGTGTACGATTCTGCTTTTTTTACTTGTATTTCATTTCATTATTTTTATTATTTTCATATGAATCCGTGCGGATACCAGAGAGCTGGATCATTAAAACAATTAACGCAGCGTGAGCGTTATGGGCAATTAATATTTAAACAAATAAAAATCGGACGATCCATTCAGGTGCTTTATGATCGTTAAGAGGAAGTATTTAAAATTATCGGGATGGTTTTGCATGGAGAATTGATGTGTGAATTCGACGAGATAGTAATAGAAATATTTAATACTCTGTAATTTGTAGTAAAAATTAGTATTATCTAAATAAGGGCTGTAATAGATGTAAATATCATTGGAATACCGAGCTATATTTCACTATTATCAGAATGTCAATCTGTCTACTCATAAAAATGATGATTAATTATAAAAACACATTTAAAATCAGTTTTATTTATAAATCTGATATCATCAACTCATAAATATTCCTAAATACTTATTAAATCACTTCAACAGGATTTTAATGCTCATACTAGATCATGTTAAAGAATTTAATGAAGACTTCAAGATCACAAGATTTTGACTAGTTCTAAGCAAGTGAATCAAATTAAGTGATGTGACCATTACCTATCTTATTTCTGATCTCATTCACCTTATTTATAACACGATTTAAACGTCATAATCCAAGAATTATAATAACAATATGAATTATTCTAATCTCAGCGCTGTCACACGTTTTTGTATGGGACAAATGTTCGTTTCGTTTCTCGAAGAGACTCGCACTAAATCATGGATAAAAGATAAAATCAAACGAACGGCCTGGACAATTTAAGACATTTATTTATATATTCGTGTACCTATTTGTTCTTACAAATATGTGTAATAATGTTAGTAAAGTCTAAGAGACCTCACAGGGCCAAAAAAAATGAATTATATCTGCCCATGAGGAAATAAATTAACTCTTTCAATGACAAAGAGGATGATAGATTTCGCAGCTTATAATTTATTGTAACCGATGAACTTGGACATAGATTTTTGCTCTTGTCTCTTGCTTAATATGCAAGCAAAATGATCTCTCGTTCCAATTATTGATTTATTTATTCCCATTAAAACATAATTAATTCCGACTAATCATTAAATTTTATATTACAAATTAATTATATCGTTTCCCATCAATATGTTGAACAAATAAAGATCACATAAGTGCTTTTATACACGTGTTTTTTTACGATGGCTTTTGTTCGAAGCCAATGAGATCAGGCTGATGACTTTTAAATGGATCCCAGTTTCCTAAACAAATATTTTTTATAGCATCAATCGTAAAGGCGATGATTGATATCAGTACTACGATAATAGATATATGGACTTGTAATGGTTTAAATTGGGATTAAGGACTAAAATATTATTGCTCCTAATAATAAATACAAGATCATATAATACTGCAGCTAATGATAGAATATTTTATGATTATAATTTTGGGAAATTTTACTTCAATCTGGTGTTGTCAAAATCATTTTTATGTTAAAACTAGATGACCCGACAGACGTTGTTCTGTACCCATGTCTACAATTTTAACAATAATATATATATTAATATTTACCGTTTACCTAAAACAATAATTATTGTTTTTTTAAATTACTCTTCACGCCAAAATGCATATACATTTATAACATGAGCGATGTTAAATGGAGAACTGCTTTAAATAAAATGAGGAGTCTCAATTCTCACACTATATTGGAAATTGAACTTTTTTAAACGGTATAACATAACCACAATCATAACATAACACTGGTACTTCATGTTGGATTAAATTAATTTAATTTTTTATTATTCAAGATATACAAAATTGCATCTTAAACTTCTCCTAATCGATATCGTGAGGGCCGAATTGTATGTATTCATCTTTACTTTTCCATGTGTTTTTATAAAGTGAAATTTTTACGAATTTTAAAAATATTGTGGAAACATTAGCAAAAGATGCAAAAAAATTTTATATTGGCGCCCCCTAAGGCGTGCACTCGTATTTTTCGCATGTATCGCATTAAAGGTAGAACCGGCCCTGATTAATACTTAATTTCATATTTTAAGTGAATTAATTTGTCATATTTGTTCATATGTGCATCATTAAATCTGCCCTACATATACTGTATCTTATATTATTTTAATTTCTGGCACATCTCAGCTGCCTTTCGGCATTAATAATGCAGACATTTAATTTTTCTTATTCATAATCATAAATTTATTATGCATATTCTAATATTGTCTAGATTCATAAGTAAATTGAAATTTTTGGCAGATGATAGTTTTCATTTATTTTCAATGAAAACAATGATATGTCGATTTTTGTAATTTTTTGCATTTATTTCTATAATATTGCACATACATCCCAGTTTATAATCACATATATCCTAGAAATTTTCTTAACAAACTTCAGAAAGATTTATCAAAATCCGAATAATGGTTATGGAGGAGTATACAGTGAGTGCACGTAATTTAATATGAACTTTATATAATAGCAATAATGCTCAAATTGATTCTACGTTTTAGTTAGAAACGTTTGTATAAGATAAAGAATAGGGCTGTTTTAGGTTTTTTCCGGCAATTATTCGATTTTTTCTCGCCGTAAGAACCATCCTTGGACCTTAACGAATATTTTAAAAAAAGAATTGGCCAAATTGGTCCAGGCGTTGTTGAGTTATGCGCTTACCAACACATTTTGCGATTCATTTTTATATAGATAAATACTACTAAATGTTGCTGAATATCTTATTATATATAATTATATTTTATAATATAACTTCCTATATTTTATAATAATGTAACATTGTACATTTGCCAGAGAGCATTAATACATGTGTAACAAAATTTATGTTATAAGTTTATTAAACATAATTTTTTTACATCAATAACCTAAAGCACGCTTCCACAAATGGTTTAAAAATTGTTTGCTCTAGGTTTTACTAAATTATTTAAAATATTTATCATTTACCATGTGACCTTAATCCGAAGGAACAGGAAGGCCCAAAAATCCCTCGTACGGTGTTTATTCGGTCGAGACTCCTCCGAGCGAAACAAGTGGTCGGCACATGTGTGAGATGTCTCAAAGGAAACATTGTGTGCCTTTAACATATATTGTCCTTGAAAGGAGCATCTTTTTCCTTTTACATCGATGGAATGGGTTCAGTAAAGTTAATGGAAAACGGTTTAGAAATCGACAAATAATAATTAATATTAATTATTAAATAACACATGACCGACACAAACTACTATGTAACTACACAAACTTTTAGGTAATGAATCTAGGGCTATTACCAGGCCAATATTCGATGGTATTGTGCATTTACTGAAAGTAATAAATAATATAATATAATTAATATTTTTCTATAATAATGAATATATTTCAAATAACATAGAGCTCTTTGTTTCTATTTCTTTTACCAGGGACCTTCAAAGCCCGACCTTCTTGTCGTGATGTCACTGTCAGTATTTTTTTTCTTTTGCTCCGACATATTTCGGAAAGGCGTCATATGCATTATTGTTTTTTTTTCTTCAAACTAACCATAGTAATAATTTTTTGCTCCAGAATTTTTTTTGCACCAATTCTCAGCTGTGGGAATAACTGTGTTATTTATTCCAGCACAAGGTTCATAAAGAAGTAATTTGGACTTGTAGTAATAATGATACATAAGCTGTTCACTATAATAGAATATGTTCGTTAATTTATTAAGTGTTTTCAGGCGAAACATAGTAATAAGTCTTAAAAATCTTTATTTGTAAAGATGAATTAAATTTCTAATCTATTCTGTAAGTTATTTAATCAAATAGATTCATTTAAAGTAGTATTTAATATTTATTTTGCCAAATAATTTGCGTTGAAAAAATATCATCCTTAGATTTTTAGTTTTCTACAATTTCGAGTTTTATATTATTCTACTATTCAAATTAAAAAAATCATTGTATAAATTTAGAAATATTTAACTTGAGCCGACATTTTCCAATCTTCTTTTTGTATTTTAACTAATTTCAACTTATATTAACTTAATAGCTAATTTTAAAAAATGAATTGTCGCCAGGTATAAAAGGACCCAGGAAGGACACGCGCTAAATTGACCCTTATGGGACACTTGAAAAGGACCATATTTGTCCTCTCTTGATTTTTGGTAGAAAGGATCCTTTGCTTAACTTTAAGCTAGGGATGGTAAATGTCTCCAAATTTCGTTATTGATAAAATTCGACATATCGATCAATAATAAGAAGTATTTATCGAATATTATGCGACTCTCTAGGGTATTTAATATTAAATAGAAGTAATATATTAAAATACATATTTTTTATAAAAACTGTACGATGCAGATTTAAAATTCATTTGCTTATTCAATACATAGAAACAATACCATCAGTTTTGCTATATTAATATAAAAAAAAATTTAACATTTCTTGAGTTTATTCAACTTATCTATTAATTCAATATAAAGAAACCATGAGCATCAGTTTTACAATTATAAAAAAAATATAGTTAAATTTATTCATTTGTTTGTTCGATATACAGAAACACATGAGCATCGGTTTTACAAGGTTGAGTTTATAAAAATATAATAAAAATTACAACACAAAATTCTAAAGCTTTTGATTAAAAATTTTAAAATTTAACTTGAAGTTACTTTTAATTATTTAAAGTCACATGATAGCTTTGGTACGATTTTTGGGATACTCATATAAGATAAGTTAAAGTTGGGTTAATTGAACAAATATAAATTTGCGTCCAAGTGGTTGAAGCTGTTAAAATTTTATATCGACATTTTCCTGGTATGTTTTCAGCCTGATTTTGGTTATTTAACATATGTCTTTCATCTATATGCGGATGGGCTGTGAACACAAAGGTCCAAAAGTGGCACTCATTATCGATTCGGCCTGCAAACACTCATCTAAAGTACCTTCTAGTGGAAACAGTTGCTGCATCAGTGTTGGATTGACAAACAACACGAAAATTTGCACCGAAACGCTCTTGTCATAGATTAAATACCTA